GCATCATTGGCTACATTGATAGCCCCATCCAACTAAAACCTTTTCATCTCTCTGGCGGGCAGTTTTCTATTGTGTCACTATTTACAGCTTGTGTAATGGGGAATAAGTCAGTATGAAATGATTAAGAGAGTTGGTGATGAAAACCCCCTCACTGTGTCTGTGTTCGAGGCGGAAGACACGAGCTGTGCTTTCTCAGGAGAGTGCAGACACGTCTCGGGATTAGAAAATAAAGTTCGGGTTTTTCTTCCTTTGGCTTTACTCGGCTGGTGTAACAAGCGTTATTGATTCAACCGTTGGGGTCAACAGATTTGAAATTGATGCAGAGGACACCTTATGGAGGACAAAATGGTTCTAGTCTGTTGGCAAGGCAGGCAATTAAATGAAATTGATTTCCTTTTTACACGAACCATCAGATACACTGGTTGGCCTTCGGTGGCCTACGGGTACGTGTAAAACAATGTCTGAAACGATTCGAGCTGACTCAGACACTAAGTACTTGTGAATATCATGTCCAACTAGAAGCTAATCATGTAAGTTCGGGTCATTAGCTTGTGAAAACTCCAGAGCAATTCCCGGCAATGGTCACAAGGAGGCTATTTCTCGAGTTGTTCATTGGGCAGTGGAAATAAAACTTTCATTATGAATGTGGTTATTCTGTTTTCTATGGTAAAGGTCTCTTCTACATAGTTCACGATGATAGGCTTATCCTAAATTTAAATTATTTGACACATATACCCAAGTAATGTGCTCCTGTGGCCTGGTTTTGTTGCTGTCGTTTTAAATGGGAATTCCACGTGGGGAAATCAGTTTCAGGATTCTGAGCAAAGTTGCGTTTGGCTGGTTTCTGATGACACTGGTAGTTCAGATTTCTCCAGGGGTGCGTCAGCGGCTCTGACTGTGACTTCTGTTATGTTGGCCCACAGGTGCACCCTGAGCGTGACCCTGGAGCAGGCCATCATTTTAGCCAGGAGCCACGGGCTGCCTCCTCGGTACATTATGCAGGCCACTGACGTGATGAGGAAGCAGGTAAGTCTCGCCCGCCTGTGCTGTGGGAGTTTCCTAGGACCTGGCTTGGCTTTGTTCATTTATCAGATGTGGCACTTCTCTAGGCACTTGGCTTTGGGGAAGCCGTGGCTGGGGAGCATGCCCAAGGAGAAAATAGTACAGACTCCTAGACCAAGGGTCCCGGATATTTGGTTTCTGTGCTGTAACCTAGAAGCAAAAAGCGAAATGGCCACACAAATAAGAGTGGAATAGAACTGGCAGTAAGGATATAAGGGCGTAGGGCACTTCTATGAACTGTAGGCAATTTAATAAGCCTTCGAAGCAGATTGGGAGGGAGCAGAGGCAAGGAAGATGAGGAGTCAAGGGCCCCGCTAGCTTCTGTGATCTCCCAAACTCTTCCATGCCATGGTAAGATGCATACATCCTCCTGAGGATGAAGTGCTCAGCTCAGAATTTCTTTTGGGGGCTGAATAGGAGCCTCTCAACTGTCTTTCCATCACCAGAGAGACTGGACTCTCTTTATTTTCTCTTTTGAATAAAATGAATTCCTAAATTGTAACCCAATAGCATTTGATGAACCAAGGTAACTTGGTGACTTGGTTCTAGATTGTTTACATTCTTTTTTTTTTTAATGCACTAACTTCTATAGTTCTAATTAGAAAATAGAATTGAGCTAGTATAAAACACACGTCAGCATTGATAAGAAAAATGAGTCATGAATTTTAGGTTGTTCTGTTACCGCCTTGAGTTCTTCTGTGAGAGTGACTTCTTTAGATATGCTTTTGTGATTATGACCATTTTATTCACCAAAGCTTTACTCAAGCAAACAAAAGCATTGTCAGCACCCCCTCTCCCCCTGGGCTTGTCCCCTAGATTTTTACTATGGATTGTCAAGCTAGCCAGTGAAGGGATAGACTGAAGAAGCTAGTACCAGGCTGACATCGGCAGTGCGAGTTGCAGGCCCGGTGAGTCTGCATGCCTCAGCACTCCTGCTGTAGGAATTCAAGAGTGGAAGTTGACTGTGAGGAGCTTAGAAGGTCTCAGGGGGATTAGGTAGAGGTTTAGATCCACCAGAAGAATGTGACATACTGTTGTCCAGCTGGCAAGTGACAGACACAGATGGAAACTGCCGTCTGGTGTGGAAGGATTTGGGGAAGTAGATGCACTAATTCTTCTTTAAAAACAAAACAAAACAAACAAAAAAAAAAAAAAAAAACAAACCCAGGTAAGTGTATAGATTCTCACATCAGAGGTGGGTTTTAGGTTAGAAACAACAGAAGGGTGACGTCTTATTTGCTTTTTCTGAATAATTCTTAGAGAAACTGCATAGGAAGGTTTGGGAAAGTTTTCTCAAAATTACAACTTGCAGGAAAAGGAGTTAGGATGATCCTCTTGAGAACATTCCACTCCAGGGTTTATTCTGAGTTGACTGCAAATGCATTCCTACCTGTGGGTCTGGGTAATTATAGACCTCTATAATATCTCCAGTTATTAAAAGAAAAAAGTGGAAACAGAACATAGAGATAAACTATCTATTCCCAAACTTCACTGCTATAAAGTCATTACAAGTAGAATATATATAATTTGATGTGTAAAATATAATTAGGAAGATTCGAGAACCAGGCAGATTCTAAAGTGCACATCTTGTTTTTTGTGCTTTTATCCTCTTTCTTTCTTTCTTTTTTAATAACTGAGTTAAGGCTAGGTAGCTTTATTCCTTTGATGCTGGTTCCTCGGCTCCAGGACAGAGAGAAGGGAAGACTTGATCATGAGCTCTTCCTTGTGAAAGATTTCAGAGCCTAGGGTCCTCTCTTTGGGAATCAGGCTGGTAGACTGATGAGCCTACAGGACTCCCATGAGCATCTTTCTTGAGGCATTCGACAGTGGCAGGTGACGAGATAGATGGCTGGCGCCCAGTTCTTCGGTGTACTCTTACCCTCTTAGTCTCTAAGTAGCTAGAATGCAAGTCTTTTCGGCACCCTCATGTGACTCTTCCTTTCTTCTCTTCCAAGGGAAAAGATTTGGCCACTTAAACTTGACTCTTGGAGGCACTGTGCTGAAACATTTTTCATCTTTATCAGGTTTTGAAGCCCTAGACCTATTTCATCATTGAATTTCGTGGTGGTTGTTATTGGGGTTTTGAGACATGGTCTTATTCTGAATCCATGGCTAGCCTCAATCTTGTTAACAGTCTCACTGTGGATGCTTCCCAAATGCTAGAATTATAGCCATGAGCCACCACACATAGCTCACGTTACTGATTTTGAATTATTATATATCAAGCTGTTATACTTCATTTGCTATGCACTGAAGTTGTGCAATAATAATATAATATATAAATTACGAACTTTTCATTTTGGTAGAATGAGCTTTCCATGGGACATATGTTACATATACATATATGTAATTACATTATTATTTGTAAGCACAGATGGTACATTTACTCCTCATAGAGGGCCTGTCCAACCTCACTTCTTGAATATAAATGAGCAGCAAGTATAATATATGGCCCTTACAGGTTTTGCAGTGATTGTATTAGGTTAACTAGAACTTTGACCTAGCCAACCGACTCAATGGTGATGATAAACCTTAAAGTAGATGCTGATCTTTTCAGCACAAAGTAAAAAAAAAAAAAAAAAGTCCGTGCTATAAGTTATAAATTTTATTTGTTCTTTTGTAGGAACATCATTTTTCTTCTTTGCCTTTCTAAAAAATGCTTGGAATGAAAACTATGCCACCTCCTCCCCTTCAGTGTCACAAGACTCACTCTTCACTGAGAGCAAGACCACTAGGAAGAGGAGGTCCTGGTCTTGCCACATGGCAAGCACCTGTAGGCAGGTTGCCACCATAAATCTCTGACAAACAAGTGCACTAGAGACGCCCGACCTCAGTCCACAGGACAGGAAGCATGCCTGCAGGCTGTGAGGTCATTGGTGGCTAGGACCTGAGTCTATTCCTCGTAATGCGTAGGTGGAGTTTGTTCACTGAACTCCTTATAAATGGAGTGAATGGGGAGGTACATTGGTGCAGGGTGAGCTGATAACCAGAAGCCAGCACTCATGAGCTGAGAGGTGCCATTTGAATCCAGTACTGATTAACTCTGTGGTTCAGGGCAGGGTTCTCCACTTCTCAATTCCTTAGTTTCCTTGTAATTCAATTAGGGATCATAATAACACTTTCTTGATGTCATGTTTGTAAGGATTAAAGAAACCACTGTATTTAGCTCACTTACAAGTAAGCTAAAGAGATGTCAAGTGACCAAGTGATTATTAGTGAATGATAATGATGAATTTTTGAAGCTGCAAGAATAAATACAATGTAGACAGACAAAGAGAACGAGGAAGGCAATCTAGGAAGACAAGCACAACATAACAACGATGAGAAAATACAAGTATCTGATAAGTCAAAGGCATGGGGAATTATATAGACAAATGTGACATAAAAATTGTGAAATATGTGAGCAGGTGTTTTCAGTAAGACCAGTTATCAGGCTTTAAGAAAATGAAAAGCTTTCTATTAATTACTAAGTGAAATATTACAAAATGACAAGGAGAATCATACATGAGAACTGAACTCTTGTTACTAAACTTTTTAACGCAGGTGTGACCTAGACATTATGAAACCAATTCTCTTGTATGCGCTAAGATTGGATGAGGTAGTAATGATAATCTAAGAATGAAAAGGCAGATTGTCACTGACAGAGAAAGAAGTTACAATAAGGAAAAAGGAAAGGCTGGGATCTCTAATGAACCCTCTGATATTTTAGTGGTATCACTATGCTAGTAAATATACCCAACGCCCATGAGTGCACACACAGATGTATACAGATGTAGAAAAGAATAGAGATGGGTGTATGTTTGTTAGTTAGCTACTAAAAAGGTCTAGAAGCAGCTTCTTGCTGGTATTAAGAACACATAGTAGCCAGGTCTTAGCTTCTAAAAACCCCTTGGAAGGAAGGATGAGAGGGAAAGAGGACAGCTTGTAAGGAGGGAAGGAGTGTCAATGTGTAAGGATAAATATTTATCTCAGAATAAAAGTCATTGTTAATTTTATTCATATTAATTATTAATATTAGTGCTGAGTTAAATATATGCTGGGATAAAGGATTTTGGAAATAGATAGCTCATCTTGATAGAAAACACCGTGCCATTACAATATCGCTTTGTCACTAGTGGGGGCTGAAATGGCAAGCAGAAGTTTGAAGGGAGACTCAGTATTCAGTCTCATAGTTCCAAATTCTTTGTAAAGTCTACAAAGAAAAGGTGGTGACGTGACAGAAGATGCCCAATTGGGAAAGAGATCAAGTAATGTCACAAGTGCTAAGATACAAGGATAGCATGTATCTCCTAATGTGATACACAGAAAACACTATGGTGTCTTCTCCCTCAGTATAAGAACACAATAGACAAATCCAAACTGAGACACTTTACAAAATAATGACCAGTACTCATCCAAAGTATAAAGGTCATCAAGGGCAGGTTCTGAGCAGCTGTGATAGGGACATGAGGCAAGTTCACAAAAGGCAATGAGATTCTGCACCGGAGGATTCTGGACCAGAAAGGGAGCCTTCCCAGAGCAAGTGGTGGGACCTGAAGACAGTGCACCATACTTAATAGCAGCATGCTCATGCTGACTCCTGGCTTTGATCAACCATGGTTCATGGAAAAGTTAAAAATAAGGGAAGCTTGGTGAAGTGTGTGGAAATCTATTATGTTCTTGCAAATATTCTCTTAAGTACTCAGGGTCTTCAAAAGAAGAAGGACTGAATAATTGTTATTCCTTGATCCCTTCTTGTATGTCCTTTTGCCTGTCCAATTTTCCAGGTTTGTTTTCATTTTTTAGTTTTTTTTTGAGATAATATGTCTTTTGGGGTTTCTTTGCCACTTTTCTCAACTTTATTTAGAGCAGTATTGGGTGGAGTGGGTACTTGGAACATCTCAGGATTTTGTTTTCTTTTAGATGTTCTCCTAGTTTATTCCAAGGAGTGAACAGTCCTATTTGGATCAATGTAACTAGCTTCTATTAGGACCTGAACAGGGGTTGTAACCTCATTCATGAAATTGACCAGGCATAGGGCCCCTTTTATTGCTGAAAGGAGTTGTCTTTGTCCCACCAACTTTGTAGATTTCATAAATCAAACATTGACATGGCTTGTCCAGAAATTTATTTAGAACTATCTAGAACATGTTTCCTTACAAAACATACAATAACTGTTCATCTAAAGAGATGTAGGTGTGATTCCTGTCCCATGAAAATGTTTGGGCCTAGGATGTGTTGATGAGATGATCATGCCCTGTTTTCAATGTTTTAAGTTGTTAATTGCTTCTGATGATAAAGATGTAAAATGTGTGAATAAATGGGAAGCTGTTAAACTCTTGAATGGGCTCAGGCTATAGGATAAATAATAAGTATTTGGATCAGTATACTTTAACTCATAAAAGCGCCCATTCCAGAAACATTCATACAGTGGTTTCTGTCGTATTTCTTATTAATGTCCCTTGATAGTAAGTAGTAACGCCTCTAAACTCAAATTTATTTGAATGAACTCTGAGGACATTATTGAGTTGAAGATGATTTCCCTGCCTTTCAGGGTGCAAGAGTTCAGAACACAGCTAAGAACTTGGGGGTTAGAGACCGGACTCCTCAGTCAGCTCCAAGGTAAGTTTATCCAGTCTAACCCTTACCTGAGGGCTTGTCAGCCTCTGGCAGTGTCAGTCGTGGCCAGGTCTCTGCTCTAGTTCATGTCCAGTGTCATACTGACACCAGTTGTAAGATCCCTCTGGTAAGCACTCCGTGGTGAAGTATGATGAGGGGCTAATGAATACTCTCAGAAACAAACAGACATTATTTTATTTTGAAAGTAAATTAGAAAAACAAAACTGTACAAAAAATACGACCAAAATGTATTCCAAGTGTGTCAACTGCCAATCTACTCTTTCCATTGTCCCTGGTGATGGTTACACACTTTCTTCTTCCATGACTGGAAAACCCTTATTTAACTCACAACGCCCACCTTGGATGCCATCTTCTGCTTTGAGTCTTGCTTGAGTAGCTCTTTTGTCAGGCTTCCTGGGTATCACATTATAATGCCCTTTTTATATTATGTTGCCCTGTATTAATACAAGTTTCTCCGCCTAACCCAAATATGAACTCTTGGGTGACAGAGATATACTTTCATTTTACCGGGGGCTACATAGCAGACATCAGATACCTAAATTTATTTCAAGACCTTGTGAACGAATGAATGGATTAATCAGTGAGCTTTTTGTTGGTTATATCAAATATTCACAGTTCACCAATTATAAGAAAGGATTCTAACTTACCTTTAAAGTGAATGAACATAGAGAAGTGCTTTTCCTTTGATTTCCCATGGTTAGGGTAAGCATTCATCTGCTGTGAAGTGGAGCAATGTTAAATAACTATTTACATATTTGATCATGATGACTTGTTTGAATTTTAACAAAAAGTGGGCATCTCAGACCCTGCCTTGGATAAGAAGTTCTTTGTTTCTGCTTGCAACACTATTACCAGAAACAGAATGGTGACCACAAACATTTATGAAGTTATACTTCATTTTGAAAACTTTGGTGAGGAGAGTGCTTTCGAGGGAGCTATCCTGCTGTAGCTGCGTTTACTTCTAGTACTGACTCCTAATTCTGTAATTCTCCAGTCTTGTTAATGTTGCCTTTCATAGCTGATTAGATTAGAGTCTTAAGGTTTTTTTTATTGCTAAAGGATCGTTTCACAAACACATTCTCTCTAGCCCCATGATCAGACATGGTATATTTGTATAATAGACCTGCTGAAGTGTTAAAAGTTCCAATAAGAAAACAAGATAATAGCTTTTCAAGGTATGTTCAGTTAGATCCATTTAAACACAAATGGACAGTGGGGTTGGGATGAAGCTTCAACATCGGATCAATAAACCAATACTCTAGCCAAACACAAGAAAACAAACTGATGAACCCAAGCTTTTTCTCTTTTGGATTATCTTTAAAACACTTGAGATGAAACATAATAAAACGAACCAGCTATAAAATTGATATGTTATGTAAGGGAATAACAAATTTAAGAGAGAAATAAAAATTACTTCAAATTTTTATTTACTATTTTACTCATTCCGTGGGTATTTATTGAGGAAATGCAGCATGTTTTACTGTTGCCCCAGGGATGATAGAAGGCTGGTACAGAAGTGAATGTGGCCCAGAAGGAGCTTCCACTTAAAGAGATGAAAAAATATGTGACTAGGCATATAACTCAGTGGTAGAGCACCAGAGGCTTTGCCTGGATTTGATGCCCAACAAGAAAGAGACAAGAAAGAACAGGAGGGAGAGAGAAGGAGGGAAAAGAGGAAAAGAGAGGAGGGGAGGAAAGGGAAGGGAAGAACAGAAGTCTGTGGAGATACAGAGAAAGCCAAGACTCACAGAGGCCTAGGATCTCCCCTGAGAGGAACCAGCTCTTTCCTCAAAGGCAATAAGCTGGAGGGCACAGTTGGTTCTCACAACCAAACTACTCATTGGCAAAGCTAGCAAAATATTTCTGAAAGATTCATCTTTGGAGGTCCAGGGAGTTATCTCTACCTGAGATTTTATTTGGTTCAAACCTCTCAACCCACCTCTGTCATAGTATTCCTAACATCCACTTTGTTTACTTATTTTTATTCACCCAATGAACATACACTGACATATCTTGACTTTCTGTTGTATGTCTGGGAGGGGCAGGCCTTGTGGTAAAAGCAGGGTAAAAAGATTTCTCAGTCTCTGTGACAAACAGGAAGAGTGTGCTTAAGGATTTTGCAGAGAGAGGCAGAGGTGAGATAGGAAGATTCAGGAATCAGGAAGATTTTTTTTTTTTTTCATTTTAACTTGAAAAAAATAATGGCATTCCTCATCTTCATGTCTGGATAATTTGAATCCTCACATCTTCTAAGGCGATATGGGATGGTCTCTCAAAGGACCGATAGAACTGAAGGCAGAGGTTTAGTAGGTGACATTGAGATGGTTCCTCAGAGGACAGCTAGGACCGAATGCAGGTTTTAAAGGATATTGTGTTAGTACAAGGACAAAGATAAAAAGACCGAAACACTTAGAAGACATAATTAATAACCTTTGGATAAGAACTGGAGAGGAATTGGCGAAAAGGAACTTTCTAGATTAAACATGAGAGCTTTGGTGTGGGTAAAGGGGTTAATGGCTCTTGCTTCTGAGGCCGTGAATGCAGAGGGAAGTAGCATGCACTAGGCATGGTGATCTCAGCTTGGTCACAGTGAGATAGAGATCTAGGAGCTGGCCATGTGCAGTTGCCTTTGTGGCTGCTCGGTCTACAGGTCTGTAGTAGAGGTCTACAAGTCCTGTGAGTCACACAGGTCAGGAAGGAGTTGAATTTTACTACCTGCGGGTAGGGAAGGTTGGGAGTACTACTGTGGGGGATACTGAGTCTGAAGAGGAAACAGGAGCATTATGGAGGATGCGCAGTCAGAGAAGCTGATGGAAAACAGGGGTGGGTGATTCTGGAATTCACAAAGGAGGAAGTGGCCATGGTCACCACACAGGAAGAAAGGTCATGACTATTCATGGAATCAGTACACTGCATCCCCTACTACTGAAGTATATTAATTTTACATTGATCGGTTGTAGGTATTTGCAAGGAAAAGCCTACTCCTGCTGGGTGGGTTTCCTAAATATTTATGCTGCTCTACATTAGCACTTTGCCTGAAATATGTCTGGAATGGCCTTTGGCAGTAAGATGTCAAGACAGATAAAAATCCTGTATGTTCAAGGAGGGTTCATCCCAGCAGAATAGAAAGATAGGTGCACGCACGCAGGCACACTTGTGTGTGTGTGTGTGTGTGTGTTTGTGTGTGTGTGTGTGTGTGTGTGTGTGTGTGTGTTTCTCTCGGAAATTCCGATTTCTCATCTTTCAGATAGAGGAAGTGCCTTGAGAAAAAGCACATTTTAGCTATGGAAGAGGCATTTGCTCTGTAGCCTCCATTCTAAAAGTCAGAGTATAAAGGGCGTAGGGAAGCCTGGGAACTTGTCTAGATGCAGAAATTTGAGCCCAACAAGGAAGAGTAAGAAGAGGATCCAGGACAGCCCTTGCCTGTTCATGCAGGGCCTCTAGTGTGCATGTGTGGGATAATAGCTCTACATGCTGGGCCAGCAAAAGCCCCACCCCACCCCAATAATCTAGCTGCCAAAAGCAGAAGCCGCGGTTCAACATAAGAGCCCAACTCCTTACCTATTACATGTCACTTTCCAAATTCAACAGCCAGTGCTCAACTCCCAGAGCTGTGCAGTTTCCATTACAAGTGTGGCTGGACTCAGATAACCCTGAGTCACTTCCAGGAAGCCTTGCAGAAGCCAAAGCTGCCCAGCTCTGCAGTGGCCAGAGCTATTATTGCATTTGGTGACCACAGGGAGTAGCCTTCGCTCCAATTTGCAAGGTAGACATTGCAAAGGCTCGTCTCTCCACTAGCGCTGGGCACAAACATGCAGAACAAGGTAATTGGATGTGATAGGTAGGATGTCCTTCACCCATCCTCCCGTCTCTGTCCTACCTGCTCTCAGGCCTCTGTGCTTTGTCACTCACTAGGCAGCACTGCCATGGAGATAGGAGGATAGGAAATGAAAAGAAAAGGACCTTCTGATTGGTCTGTGTTCCCAGCCCCAGGAGGCAATTTGAAGCACATCTTGTACTTCAGTTGCAGAAGAATCTTTAAACGACATCAGCTCAGTTTAGTGTGTTCTTTTCTCTGGGAAGGACAAAACAAGTTTTTTGTCATCTCTGCGGAAATAACCTATGGGAGCAAAAGCCAGCTTTCAGGCATGAAGTATATTTTTCAAACCTCCAAAGACAGTAACTTCTGGCTTCCAGACCAATAAAGTTCATTTTATTAACCAGACTTACAATCTGACATTAAACCATCCTTTCTCACCACTGATTTGGAATTAGCATGCCATTGTATGTCACAGACAGAGGAAATTTATAGTTTGCTGAAGTGGCTAGCTGTTTTTTTTTTTTTTTCACATTTATTTATTTATTTATTACAATTTATTCACTTTGTATCCCAGCTGTAGCACCCTCCTAATCCTGCCATCCCTCCCTCTTCTCTCCCATAACCCTTTCCCAGTCCACTGATAAGGGAGGGCCTCCTCCCCTTCCATCTGACCCTAGTCTATCAGCTCTCATCAGGGCTGTCTGCATTATCTTCCTCTGTGGCCTGGTAAGGCTGTCTTCCCTCCTCCCACCCCCAGTGGGGAGATGATCAAAGAGCCAGCCATTGAGTTCATGTCAGAGACAGCCCCTGTTCCCCTTACTAGGAACCCACTTGGAGACTGAGCTGCCATGTCCTACATCTGTGCATGAGTTCTAGGTTATCTCCATGCATGGTCCTTGTTTGGAGTATCAGTCTCAGAAAAGACCCTGGGCTGAGATTTTTTGGTTCTATTGCTCTCCTTGTGGAGTTCCTGTCCTCTCCAGGTCTTTCTAGCTCCTCCCTATTCCATAAGATTCCCTGTACTCTGCCCAAAATTTGGCTATGAGTATCAGCATCTGCTTTAACACCCTGCTGGGTAGAGTCTTTCAGAAGCCCTCTGTGGTAGGCTTCTATCTTGTTCCTTATTTTCACCCTTTTTTGATGTCTATCCTGTTTGCCTTTCTGAATGAGGACTGAGCATCTTACCCAGGGTCCTCCTTCTTGCTTAGCTTCTTTAGGTATACAGATTTTATCCTATATTTGTATGTCTAATATCCACTTGTAAGATATGTGTGTCTTTCTGCTTCTGAGATACCTCACTCAGGATGATATTTTCTAGTTTCCACTATTCTCCTGCAAATTTCATGATTTCCTTCTTTTCCATTGTTGAGTAATATTCCATTGTGTAAATATACCACAACATAGCACCAACAGCACAGGCTCTAAGATCAATAATCAATAAATGGGACTTCATGAAACTGAAAAGCTTCTGTAAAGCAAAAGACACTGTCATCAGAACAGAACAACAGCCTACAGATTGGGAAAGGATATTCACCAATCCTATATCTGATAGAGTGCTAATATACATAATTTATAAAGAACTAAAGAAGTTAAAAAGCAACAAATCAAGCAATCCAATTAAAAAATGGGGTATGGAGCCAAACAGAGAATTCTCTGTAGAGGAATATAGAATGGCAAAGAAACACTTAAAGAACTATTCAATGTCCTTAGCCATCAGGGAGATGCAAATCAAAACGACCCTGAGATTTCACCTTACACCCATCAGAATGGCTAAGATCAAAAACTCAAGTGATAACACATGCTAGAGAGGATATGGAGAAAGGGGAACCCTTCTCCACTGCTGGTGGGAATATAAACTTGTACAACCACTTTGGAAATCAATCTGATGCTTTCTCAGACAATTAGGAATAGTGCTTCCTCAAGACCCAGCTATACCACTCCTAGGCATATATCCAAAAGACGCTCAAGTTTACAGCAAGGGCATTTGCTCACCCATGTTTGTAGCAGTTCTTTTTGTAGTAGCCAAAATCTGGAAATAAGCCAGATGTCCCTCAATTGAGGAATGGATACAGAAATTGTGCTACATTTACACTATGGAATGCTAACAATGCTTTTAAGTTCCGTTCAACTACAGTGCAAAAAGGAGTAAATCTCCTTGGATACACCTGCTGGAATCACTTTTAAAAGCTGCAAATTTGGGGTATTGAGATGAGGAGTGTAGATTAGTGGTAGAGCACATGATTAGCAAATGTGAAAGCCCTGGATTCAATCTGCAGCTTTGGTAAACACCCCTGATCTCTTTCTCTCTCTCTCTCAACTCTCTCTCTCTCTCTCTCTCTCTCTCTTTCTCTCTCACACACACACACACACACACACTCACAGGGAATGTGTTAAAATTGAATTCTGCAGTAACAATACTAGCCTAATGTACACAGTAGGACAAATGTAGCCTTACTTCTTAAAGACAACAGATAGGGTCCAACACCTACAAACTGTACCTCAGCCTCTCTTCACACTAGATCAGTGATTCTCAACCTGTGGGTCATTACCCCCTTTAGGGGTCACATATCAGATGTCCTGGATATCAGATATTTACATTTTGATTTATAACAGTAGCAAAACTGCAGTTATAATGTAGCAACAAAATCAATTTATAGTGGAACATTGCCACAGCATGCAGAACTGTATTAAAGGAGCACAGTGTTAGGAAGTTTGAGCCCTTGCTCTAGCTGTGCTGTAAGTAATGGTCACTAGCATTAACGGGCAGCATTTTACTCCCTTCTACTTTGGTTCCGGAGTTAGCTTTTAGGCACTCAGGTCAACATGTGTAAAGCTTCTGAGCATACCTCAGCTTTTCCACAAGTAACACGAATTCTTTGAACTTGACCATCCTACTGACAGGTGAGTGATGGATCGCTATATCCAGTCTTAAGTCCTTAGAAAAGTCCAGATAACTAACTGTCTTGAGATTCTGGTTTCAGGAAGCTGTTACATAAGCCCATCCACAGTCAACTTCTGGTACCACAAAGATAGAGGTAAATTTGTAAAACTTGTAAGCAAATCTGTAGCTCTCGATGAGATAGAGGCCACATCACTGCAAGATAACTATGGTGAACAAGGTGTGAATTATCATAATGACACTGCCCCTGGGAACTCAAGGGAGAGAATTTACTATCTGCAAATTAATCAGACAGCCTGGAGCAGAGCAGCGGCATCTAAAACAGAGGATTCTTTACCTGTAGGTCATGACCCCTTTGGGGTCTAATGACCTATTCACCGGGGTCACACAGCAGATATCCTGCACATCAGAGATTTATATTATGGTTCATAAAATAGCAAAACTAGAATTTGAAGTAGCAACATAATAATTTTGTGTTTAGGGATCACCACATGAGGAATTGTATTAAATCGTGGCAGCATTAGGAAAGTTGAGAACCACTGTAAAATGAAAGTTCTGTGAAGTGAGCAGCCTTTTAAGTATGTGCAAAGAAACTGATGCATTTTCTAAATCCCAGGAACAAAATTTAAGATGAAGCTAATTCATATCCTATTTTCTATGGAACGCTCAATGTGGTGATGGATGATGGAGCCAAGAAATTATTGCAATGTGTTTTTTTTTTCTACCAGTAAAAACATTTAGGTAAGGATGGTATCCTAAGTGATTTTCATACTGCCCTGTGTCTTTTTCTAGACTCTACAAGCTGTGTGAACCACCACCCCCAGTTGGAGAAGAATAAGCACTCAAAAGAGTCACCCAGACAGAAGCTTCCAAAAGCTGACCAAGTCAACATTCTCCACTGAAGATAAAGAAATACAGATCTAAGATGTAACCATTCCCATGGTGTAAATAACTGAAGTTTGGTTCCTCCTTGGATATTCATGTTGGAACCAGCAGTTCATTCAGACAGTTCAGCCCCACACTATGTGTATTAGCATTACAGATTCATCCTGGGGTAAAATTCACTGCTCAAATTTATAGAAAAATAGACAGAGGTAAAGGTTTAACTATTTTGGTCCTTTTCTCATTCATTAATTGTACTGTATTTGTTTTTAACTTTCCCAGTGGACACATGTAATAGTGATAGTTTTTCTTGAAGGAGGCTGTCACTAGAAACGACGGCCACACTCTGGAAACCATCATACAGAAATGTCAAGGACAGTGTAGGTGGGTAGGTGCCTCATCTCCCTCCCACACCACAGATGTGCACGTGTGCGAGGCAGGAAGTCCATGCTTCCCTTTCTTCTAGGGCTTCATAGCAGTGAAGAAAGCTGTGAGGTCTTAGCAAGACTTCCTTCACTGTCGTCAAGTTTACTCTCTGCGCATGAAAACACTCCAGCAGGCAGGTGCTTTTCGTGATCTCTGCAATGAGCCATGAATACTGGGCAATGTACCATTGATGGTTGCGAGTAAGGAGTTGCCAGGGTTGGAAAAGTGAGAGGAGTGAGCAAGAAAGGAACAACAACAACAACAAAAACCAACAACAGAAACAAAACAACAACAACAACAACAACAAAAACAAGCCTATTTGAAAATCCAACCTTTAATGGAGAAAGATAAACTCTCGATTTTATGAAATCTTCTGATAAAATATCAGACCCTTAAAATAATACACCACCACGGGTATTTTTTTATCAAGGTATATGTGTAAGATGTGAAAATAGATGTATTTGTTGTGCTTCAATGGGCCACTAGGAAAGAATATTGATAATTTATGGAACCAAGGTATAGCCTGTATTCATTCTAAATGTCCAATGTTTATTACTTATGTGTTGATATACAAACATTGTATTTAGCACCGCAAATAGATTAATATTGGTTTTAAATATATAATTTTAAAAGAAATGAGAACATCCTTACTGTGATTATGCTAGAGTCATGCTTTGTGTAGTGATAAGGATAAATTGTGCCTTCAGGCGATATTATCATTGTATAGACGTCATGGAGTGCACGAGCTAAGATGACTATAGCCTCATTAGATGGCATGACCTATGGAACCATCTCCTATAGGCTGACCATCACTGACCCAACCCCAGTGTGCAGCACAGGACTCTGTATGGATATATGTTAAGAACATGAATTCCTTACCATAACTACAGTTTTGGGAGAACATTAGTCTTTATAAATCTCATTATGACTTCCAAACAACCATTAAAAGCCATCTTTACTGCCAGTGATATATTGAATTTAAAAGTGTGTTACAAAGGTATGGGATATATGTTTCCTACTAGTTAAGGTAAAAATTATTTGGCACAGAGCACTTGAGATTGTTTTCAGTCAGTCTGTATGTGACTAATCATAGGGAAAGTAACATCAGTTTCTAAAGAAAATCCTTAGCATTTTGAACTTAATAACGATATGACATATACTTGCATATTTTTATGACATGCATTCATAAATTTCAGGAAATTAACATTTTTGCTACCATCAGCACACAAACGTGATGCTCTGGTAATTCAGGCGGCCTCTCTGAAAGTCTTGAGAGTAAGGAGAACCAACTGACTGAATGATTGAATGACCGACTGACCGACTGACTGACTCACCGAGTAAACAGACCATTCATGCTGCTTCACTGTTCTCCATTCCCCATCCTGGCAGGAAGTCACCATAGAGGCATGGAAGGGCTACAGATCGTGGGTACATCTCATAGAGTGTATTATCTGCTTTTGCAGTATTTATAAGTTAGTGTATTTTAAGGATCCACTCTCTATAACAGAATGTAACTTTCTGATTAATGTTATTTTTTGAGTTAAACATACTATCTGTGTACACAGCACTTACTAACTTTAAACATTTGCTGGTGGTTTATAGTAACACCAGTGACTGTAATTCTCATCATAATAAAGTCATAGCTGACCTGGTTTAGTGTGTACTAAATGGCATCTCTGATTGCTTAGCCCACATTTTGCTCTTCCTTCTTCACATAGCCTCACAGCAGTGATGAAAGATGTTTTGTCACCTACACTTCATAGTTGAGCTGAAGCAGAGACTAATACAGTAACTTGTGCAAGCTCAATTGGCAAGCATGAGCATGGGGGAGTCAGAGATGAACACCCACCTTTATGAATCGCACTGCTTTTCTTTATTAGTGTGAGAGCCATTGTAATATCAATGATTATTCTCCTGCTAAGACCGGGGCTTTATGACATGTGTTGTCATTTGATTATACAAACTATATTGCAAAATCAAGTGGGAACATGCAAAATACCTTTCAGCTACAGGGTCTTGTGGGCATTTCCCATTCATAACTGAAGAGGCCACACATGTATTGCAAGCCAGGAGTAGGACGGTATATAAAATTTGACTATAATTCCAAAACAGTGGTAACACTTAATAATTTCTGATCAATGAGCGGTCGTTTTTCAATGCTATGTTACATACCTCCCTTTGACATTGGGATTTTAGGCCACTCTTGCTTTCATGTTGCGCTGTCCTCTGTAGCCAGTGGTTATTGACAAGCCCCTGAAAAAGCCTGCTTACCGTTCTTCCAACTTCTGGATGTGGACATGGGCTACCGTTTACCCCACTGAGATATTTCAGATCTTATCATGGGACCTGAATCGTATCTACTATCTTACAGGTTCTTCTCATTGTTTTCTAACATTACAAAATTTAATTTTGTAAAAAAAAAAAAAAGTGAAGATTTGAGGACTGAAAATTCATGTATTTCTTATCTAGAGAGAAAGATAGAGGATGAGAACTGTGGTCTAGGTTTCTTTGGCAGGGAAATGCAATGCTGAGTTTCTCCCGTAAACCAGGATCCGCGTCTGTAGGCTCATGGGGCTTGCTTTCTGGTGTTTTCCAGCTGTCATCAATTCCCTGTGTATTAATTGGCTGCTCTTCTTGAAGAACGATGTCCAATTAAAAAGGAAGATAGGCCTTGGAACATGGCACGGTGGTTGAGCACTTGCCTAGCACATGTGAAGTCATATGTTAAACCATGTTGGCTTTCCTTTAAGCCAACAGTGGCTCACACCTCTAATCCCAGTGGTTGGGGGAGACTGAGGCAGTAGGATTGCCAGATGTTCAAGGGCATCCTGGGCTACATACTGAATGTGAGACCAGTCTGAACTACAGTGTGAGACAGTGTATGTATGCTGCAGTGCATGCTGCGTGGAAATGGCACTATTTCTGGCTCTATTGATTTTAACTCTGAATTGTTCAATTCTGAATGAAATGAAGTTGACCCTGTGCTAACTTTAACAGTGCAGAGATCAATGAGAAACAAACCCAAGAGCCGGCATTAATTAGCTAACTTAAGCAAACAAACAATGTCCTGTCCTGAGCACAGACTTTACAGGCAAGGTATCTACTTTTTGGAAGCTTTGGGTTGAGAATAGGTTTTTCCATGGATTTAAAGAAAGTGCAAGTCTATCTCAAACTGTCAAGCATTCATTCTTACCCAAATCTAAGCAGCCGTAGTCGCACATTAAACGAATCACCACACCTTAGCAGGTGTTTTCTCATCCTTTTGAGTCTTTATAAAATCAGAATATTAGAAATTCAAAGGAATAACTCCTTTGTCCTTTTAAAATTTTTTGAAAATGATTCTTGACTTTCTACACTAGTGATATGACAGTCAAACTACTGAAGCTTAATGTTTGGCTGGCCTGCTCCTGAGTTTTAGGAAACTTTAACTTTTAAAGTTTTCTTTTTATGTGATTTTTTTTTTCCTCTGCCACACTGTAGCCTAATGATTCTTCCTTAGCCATTTATAATTTCATTAACACACATACATTCCAGTTACATAAAACATCATGCTTTTGTGGGTCTGGAGTTTTGGGGAGCACCTGATGAAAAATCTTTACTCTGAAGAAGAGGTGGGGAAAATGTAAGTGGCATTTTTACCAAGAATGGCCTCTGCGTGTTAATTTTACAAAATGGCCACCATTTTACTAGGTGCTGCATTTCCATGCTGGGCGTAGTGGTTATGGAATCACTCAATACCTTAATGATCTGCTGTCATCAGTGTTGTTAGCATTCATGTTGCGGAGCACCACCTGGCATGTGTGTGAATCTCTTAGTTGTGACCTAGTGGGAAGTCGGCCTCACTCAGAGCAGTTTATTCTGTCCCTGGGAGAGATGACTAAGTCTGCTAAATGATATACAGATACGTGTATGTGTGTGTGCTTATATATCATATCAACTACTTTTTATTTTTGTCAAAATTAATTATAAAAATTAGATTTCAGTGTCTTAGTTGCATGAAAATATGAAATGGAGTTTATGATGGATGCTATGATGTCTGCTGTAGACATCAGTATTGTCTAGTACTGTAGTTGTACCTGGTTGGGTGTCTTTGGCTCACTGATGTTCATTTGCTATTTGTATGAGCCAACTGTTTTGTTTTCTGTCGTCACTGTGGCAACTTAGCTGAGATAATTGGCTTACAAAGAAAAAAGTTGTTTTGGGGTTTTTTTGTTTGTTTGTTTTTGTTTTTTTTGGCTCATAGTAGTGGAGGTTCTAGTCCACAATCAATTGAACCCTGACAGGAGAGGATAGAACAACTACTTTGCTCAGCATCCACATCTCAAAGATGAGTAAAAGACTTTGGCCCCACAGTCTTTCAAAGGCAGCGCTGCCTCCCACAGACACAGGAACCCCCTATGGGCCTTTCCCTGGACATTTCACCGCCTTCCAAGAGCACCATGCTGGAGATTGTGTCCTTAGCACAGGGACGTCTGAGTGACACACCAGGCTCCAGACTGAATCACTATCCAGTCAAACTGAAATCTACTTACCTGAAATTTTAAATGATAGTTACTAGAAATACTGGTAATACCAGAAATAACATAGATTGGGTAGTTAATTTTAAGTGCAGACGATGATAACTATTATCCACTCATATAGTCATTCAATAGATGTTTTAAAAATCAATTATAAAGGCCTAACCAGAGTTGAGTGTATTGGATGTATTTAATTTTGTAAAAATATCATCATAGGACCTCTGTATCCCTATGTATACAAAGGTCACTTGTATCTTTTACATAAAAATTATATTATTCATAAGGTAAATCTATTCTAATGCCATGTGTGTATTATATACTATATAGTCAAGAATATTAAGTTGTTGAAATATTTAGAAAGCATACATTTGAATTTAAATGTCTAATGCCTCAAGCAAATATATTAGTTTCAGAAGAATATATATTTTTGTAACTGCAAGACTATTAGTAGCCCATAGCCTTTGCTTAAAAATATTTTTGTAAGCATTCACTTACACAGTACTCATTTTAATAGTAAAATATCACACTGATTCTCTAAAAGTAACTGTTTTGACTGTCTGTATTTAATATTATATAACATCCAAAATTCAATGATGAAATTTATCTAAATGTATTATTAGCCTTTTTTTCTTTTGTAAAATACCCATGTAACATAGTCTCAATCATTACATATTTTGTGTATGGTTAAATTTGTTAAAGTTCATTATATATTTTATATCATTTATTTTTGCCCGTGTAAAAGATTGGTATAATAATGTTGTATGATGAGTGTCAAAAAATAATAAAGTGAATTATAGTATGTGCTTAAATTTGACTGATTTCTATTCTATTCTTACATGTTTGGAAGGCAGAAATATGAAACTAAAATGTTCACCCTTTGAAAGTTCACAAGCTCAGGAGGAGAAACTTGGGTATGACACAGATCCACTGTGCTATAACTCCCAGGGAAGGGACAGAAAGAGAAGTTTAATATGGTTCACAAGGTAGGAAAGCTTTATTAGAAAAAAAAAAAAAGGCTTTGTGAGGTTTCTCCATAATCTCTCAAACCAATCTCTCAAGGCTTCCATTCTTAATATGCATGAGCTGTGGTCATCCTATTTGCTAAGGGTGTTACAAATGCAGTAAGTAATTCTCAAAAAAAATCACTTAAGGTGATTTATTCAGTACACAAGCCAAGGAGTTGTCTAATAACGAAAGACAATAGTGTAAGGCCAACCAGGCAATGAGAAGCTCGTACTGTGGAAGTTCAGGGAATTTAGATTCAATGAACATGAGCTTATGGGCTGCCTACAGATTATCCACCCACTTTTGGCTGAGCTGGACATTAGTAGCTAGACAGACATAAATGGCTCTTGGCCTTACAGCGTTTCTGGTCTTGGGAGGAGAAACAGTGATACCAACAGACTTGAAGAGAGAAGGCGAGGGAAGGAAGGTGGTGAGCTTGCAGGCGGAGTGAGAGTACCAACAGAAGCAGCTACCCAGCAGTAACAGGTTCCCAGCTCTGTGACTGAGATGCCGCAGGCAGGTTTGTGGGATGCTGAGTGGTTGGGACCAGACAGGATAAAGGTTTGTGGATGTGATTAGAGAGAGGTAAACATAGAGATTCCAGTTGGCTCTGTCCATGCGGGTCTGACTGCCATGGTAAAACTCCTAGACGGCGCTGGAGTGTTTCGAGCTGAGTGGCTGAGGTACACAGTAACAGTTGATGTGAAATTTTGAATTCCAGGTGGTGAGCTTAAAGAGCACGTATCTGCTGGTTATGTTGGCCAGCTCAGAAATGTCAAGATCAAAATAACTGAAGGAAAGAAATCAATAACTGGATTTTTACTGTTTGGACATTGCTAGTGTAGACCAAGATAGCACATTTAATACAGTTTTAACAGTGAGAAAATAGAGGCACCAAGCATAAACTTTTTTGGGACAAAATTTAAATCATCTGTGTTCCAGAAGAGACCTGTCTGTCAGCATGTTCTTCCCTCTGCTTCTCTCTCTTTCTTTTTCTCCTTTTTTACATTCTCCTTCCTTTCACTTTCTCCTTTCTCCCTACACACACACACACACACACACATACACACACTTTGTGACTATGTCTCGGTAATACGTTTAAGAGACAGAATCATTGTGGGCCTTGGCACATGCCTGTAATCTGAGTGCTGGGAAGTGGAGACAGGAATATAATGTGGTCAAGGTCAGCGTGGGCTCCATAGAGAGTTCAAGGCCAGCCCAGGCGATACCCTCAATACTCAAAAGCAAATAAAGAAAACAAAAGAACTACAAAGTAAAACATGTTTGTTTGTTTTAAAGAAAAGAGTCCCCCCTGACTTTGGGCAAGGAGAGGCCTTGATGGTGGTGGTGTTCTTGCATAATATCAGTCAGGGGCAAAGGAGATGGTAGTCCTTTGGCCATCAGAGCTTGATGCCTGGCTCGATGGCCAAAGCTGTTCTATGCCTAGGACTCATAAAAATCAAATCAAATCCAGGCAGCACAGCACAGGAGGAGAAAGACAGAGACCTGCGGACCACCAGGCCACTCACAGACCTGCCCTCCAGTGCATGGCGCAGGCAGGCCCTGAACACCTGCTTGCTGCGTACCAGGCACCAGGTGGGGGATGTCACTCAGGGGCCCACCAGCCGTGATACAAACCTGTCGTGGGAGCCACCACAATGTGCAGGTTGTGTTCAGATGGGAGAGAAAGAGAAGTGGAGCAGTTTAAGCATTATGAAGAGAGATGGAACTGTAGACTTGAGCGTGGAGAGGAGTATCCTGTTGTGAGTGGCCAGCTCTGCCACCTGAGACCATGGTGAGGTTCCCACCCTGAGCTGCCTCTGAGGGCCGTGTCTGAGTCCATAACTATGCAGTGGTAGGGGTCAGTGCCGTGCCCCTGGCTCATATTACCACTAGAGAACACGGGGATGGCCCTGGTCTGGGCAGCACAGGAGGAACATATGGATGTTGAGGGACTTTGCATAACTGTCCCTGCCCCTCTCCAGCTGGAGCAGTCAGGAGATCGGGTCATGCATCCTGCCTGGGCAACACAGTAGTGCTGGCCCTGGTCAAGGGTGGGGGGGCGAGGGAGAGGCTGGCCGCACCATGCACTCATTGGCCATGAGGCGGCGTGGGTGTGGGTGCGAGGGTGATGTCCCCACCTCCACCTGCAGTAGTCGGGAGATCTGATCCTGGCATTGCGGGAGCAGGAGAGCTAGCCCTGCCTCCTCACTGGCGATAGCACTGAGGAGAGAGAGAGAGAGAGAGAGAGAGAGAGAGAGAGAGAGAGAGAGACCTGCACCTCACCTGGGAAATACAGTAAAACTGGCCCTGATGGCGAGGGCATGGGTAAGCCGGTTCCAAAGGTGAAAGAGCCGGACTACCAGCCACTCACAGGCTGCAGCACCTGGGAGAGTAGGCTCCCAACCTTGACTGGGGATTGCATTGGAGCTGACTCTGGAGGTGTGGGTGCATGAGAGCAGGAGGCCTAGCTGGAGCAGTGCTGGAAAGCTCACCCTGGTGGTTCCAATCAGGAAGAGCTGGCAGGCTTATCAATCAACTCAGCTAACACCCAGGCCCAGACTCAGGGCTCTGAATTGGCCCCTCCCAAAATCTATATCATCTGCAAATGGTCGGGACAGTGAAAGAGCCAGCCCTGCTGTCCAAAACTTCAGGAACTCCATGACACAGCACAACCACAGGATAACTGGGGGAAGTCCCAACGAGGTGTCACAGAAGCCAGAGCTCTAGAACCAGACCAATGACTCATTTCAATGAACATTTGCAGATGAAGATGTGTGAGCAGAGGGATGTACTGTGGGACACACTGTGACATCCTACAGCTTCCATAATGAGAAGTGTTAGAGTCACCCTGCTGGTTGCTGGTTGAGGTTGTAGTTCTCTCTAGTCTGGAGAGCCATTCTGAGCTCAGAAGTATCAAAGGCTCCCTCTTTCCCAGCAGGGCCCCTTGCTCTCTGCCTGACTTCATCTGGAGAGTGTCTTTAGACACAGACAACCCTAACCACATTTGATATGTGGCCTCTGACACAGCTCCTGGCTGGCTCTCTCTTCCCCATGCCTACATGATAATTAGGCATTGTGTATCCATTCCTATGATATGATAGGACCATGCTGTATAATGCAAATCAAGCATCCTTGAAGTGCCTACTTCCAACCAATTATGTACACCTGTTCTGGGAGCCCCTCCCTCCATCCACCCACTGCCTAAGTGGTTTATAATCTTTGTTCTCTGGAATTAAAGTTAAATTAGCCACCAGCTGGTTCATGGGGCATGGGATCCCTGTACTGTGTTCACTGGCTATTCCAGGCACAAGGAGAACCAACAAGATGGTTTCTATGCTTTGTTGTGTTGTTATTTGTTTTCTACTATGTTCTATTTATTTGTTTGTTTGTTTGTTTGTTTTTGGGTGTGGAGATTGCAAGGGTGAAGGCATAAGATATTAGGGAACTGGGGAGATGAGCAGGACTGGAACTGTTGATGTGAAACTCAGAAAGAATTTTAAAAATGGTTAAATAAGGAAGGAAGAAATGAGTTGAAAAAGGAAAGGGAAATGGAAAGAAAGAACAAATCAATCAGGTTTCTTTACGACACCCCCAAACATTTCCCCCACCAGTCTAGAGGATGTTCAGCAACTGTGGCTGGAAAGAAGTGCTCTATGCCATATTTCTGGTCATAGAAGGCCTGGAAGTGTGGTTTATTGTTCCTTGGAATAAAAACTCTCATCAAAATGTAATGTGCAAAAAATAGCTTAGAAATTTTATACGTTGAAAGAAAAAGTAGTGCGCACCTGAAGAAATGTAGCATCTTAACCTGCTGGGCTATCATTCATGCCCACAGTGGTAATGCCTTTGATGGGAGTGGGCTGTGAGCTCACTCTTCACCTTTGTCTAGGCAAGTATGACCAGAAAGACTTTGTCTATGAAGCAATGAAAATGTCTCCCTTTGTGGCCACTTCAGCCTCACAGGAGGGGGCATTACCTGGCTTTAGCAACACGGGATCTAGAAGCTGGAGGCAAACCGTGTAGAAAGAGTAGCCTCCTCTGTGACCTAACAGGACCAGAGGAGGACTTTGCAGCCAGTCCTGAAGATACCTGATAAAACAGGATCAGGTGAATGGGGAGGAGGTCCCCCCTATCAGTGGACTTGGAAAGGGGCAGGGTGGAGATGAGGGAGAGAGGGTGGGATTGGGAGGGAATGAGGGAGCAGGATACAGCTAGGATACAGAGTTAATAAAATGTAACTGATAAGAAAAAAATAAAATTAAAAAAAAAGAATAGTATGATAGCAGGTTGGATTTGAGATATTTAATGTATAAAAACTTGGATCTGGTTTGTCAGTTTCCAAGCTCATTATTTCATGTGTGATTTTCATGACCAGGATATCATGATTAAATGATTTCAAGGGAAAAGACCAGTTTTTCTTATCTAAACAATATTAAAAAGACATTTGCTCTAAGACAAAGATGTAAACTGAATTAGTAAAAAAAAAAAAATAAAGACATTTGCTCAGTGTGGGGTTCTCTGGCTTGCCAATGGCTGGCCATTTAAAGATGAGTTGAATGTGGTGACATGAACTTCTCCTTGAGTTCTTAAAGCTAGACTTGTGATGAAAATATAAACCCTGGGAAGGCATTTATAAGTCTCATCTGAGGTCATTGAGGTTTCTTTGAAACGTTAATTTCCAGATTAAAAGAAGGACTCCCTTCAGCATAAGTGGAAGTAGAGTTCATGGGAGGAAGTCTCAGTTCCAGACAGTGTAAACCCTTCACG